CGGGGGGCGGGGGGCGGCCCTCCTGGAGGAGAGGCCCCTTGAGCTATCTATCCGGAGAGGAGGGGATGAGGACCCTCGGAGCGCCGGGAAGGGGCGCAAGAGCCGCCAGCAATATACTATTATAATTTTTGAGCACCTACTGTGTGCCAGCCACTGTTCTATCAGTGAACAAAAGCAGACGGAAACCATTGCCCAGAGGATATGGCACTGTCCACGCACAAGGACGTAAACTGAGCGACGTTAGGGGTGTTTTGGCGAAAAGGAAAAGCACAGCAGGCTCAGCGGACAGGACATGGTCCGGGCAGGGCAGCGGCAAATCGCAGGCGCTTTCCCTGAGTCCTTTGAGCGCCTGCAGAGGCCTCGGGCATAAGAGGAACGCCGTTCTGCGGCTGCAGATAGCGTGGTGTGACCGGAGGGCGTGGGGTGGGCAGGCAGGGGGAAGGTTGAGGGCCGTAAAGGGCTGCCTGGGGTTGGGGCGGTGGGAGTGGAGGAGTTAAGGGGTTGTGACGGGATCAGGCTTGGGTTGGAGACTGCAGCGCTGGGTGGTAGCCACAGGGCAGGGGGTGGGGGGGCGGGGTGAGGGGGCAGGGACACCAGTGACACAGGAGATCCGGGAGGGACTCCCAGGTTCCTGGCTTCAGGAATTGGGTGGATGTAGGAGTCCTAAAAAGGCCTACTAAAACGTGTAATGGGGCCACAGCGGCCCTGGGCCCTGTCAGACCAAGGGGCCTAGAGAGGGAGTCTTGTCCTGTGCTCTGGGCCTCTCTTCCTGGTCTGCACAGTCCCGGTCATAGTTTCCTGAGCCTTACTGTGGCCATCTCATTGGCGCATGCCCAAACCTGAGGCCCTCAGCCGGGGCACAGAAGGCTGGAGGGAGGCCACTGTTCTCTCATAGAGGTTTTCTTTCATTCAAGAAATTTTGATCGAGCACCTTCTTTGTTCTAGGGGGGATACAGTGATGAATAAAACATACAGGTTCCTATCTGTGTGGTGTCTAGAGTATAAAAGGTGAGGAAGGCAGCCTTTAATCCCACAGTGATTAACTACAAACCCTGTTCACTGTTTTTAAGGGTCCAGTGTTGCTATGTAAAAGGGGGGATGGATTCTGGGGGTCAGAGATGGGGGTGTGCCCAGCGATGTTTCCTGAAGAATGACATGTGAGGTGAGAACTGAGGATGACCGGGGGATAACTTGGGCTGTCCTGGGGAGGATTCTGAGCAGAGGAACAGTAACTATGAGGTTGGGGATCATGGAGGGCAGGGGGTGAAAGGGGGAATCAAGCAAGTGCAAACCCGAGTGAGGAGAACGACAAGGAGAGATTGGAACACAGCAGAGACAGAAAACAGATCAGCCACTGGCTGCCAGGGGCTGGGGTGCAAGAGGACATTTTGGCATGATGGAAATACACTCTCTCGGCTGCAGTGGTGGTTACTCAACTATAAATCTTTGTCAAAATTCATAGAACTGTACACCAAAAAGGGTGAATTTCACCTCATAAGCCTTACTTTAAAATAAATACCTTCATTTTTTAAAGAAGAAAGAGGCTGCAAGGTAGGCAAGGGCCAGATCACACATGGCCCCATAGGCGCTGTTAGGGTTTGGTCTTTGAAGCGGCCACTGCTGGTTGCAGAGGAAAACGGACTTGAAGCAATTTTGCGGGGCCCTCAGTGGACGCTAACAGGCACGACCACGCAGCCCATGCTCCCCGGAACCTCCGTGATAGGCACAGCCTTCTCCCCCTTCCTTCTCCATGTCAACACCACAGAAGGTGACAGCTGCCCGTTCTTGCCACAAGGCCTCCCACAGGACTGGGAAGTTATGAGGACGTGGCATTCCTCTAGGAAGATTAGAGTTAGAACTGTGAACTGTCAGTGTCTTAGGAGGAAAGGGAGGACAAGATGCCAGAGACCCCTCATGGGAGGGGTCCACCTCCTGGGGAGCGGTAGGAAGTCCTCGCCTGCAGTATTGACCGCCTGCAGTATTGACCGTGAAAGTGGTACGGGGGAGCCCTGCCAGAGCTGGGGCTGGGTCCCAGAGAGGGAGTGGGTGGGGGAAGGGGGAAGACTGCACACATACTTGAAGACGGAAGACGCCAACTGCAAAAGCTCACCCTCAGGGCAACACTGCAGTCACCAGGGTGCAGCTTGGAATACTCAAACCTGCTTGGCCGGTCTGCACCCAGGCGTTCTAGCTGCTTCTCCAGAGGCCTGCTGACCTAGACAGTGAGCTAGTGGAGCGGAGGCTGACCAGAACAGGATACCTCCCAGGGACTCGTTAGGGTGCTGATGGGAGAAAAGCACCCGTCCTTTCCAAACCAACAGTTGTGGCCCCATACCTCGCCACTCACCTGGCGCAGCTGCAACAAACTCGCCCAAGCTGACGAGCTGGCCTGCCTCACCAAAGCAGAGGACCAGACTTGGCTGCCATGGCCACTTTTAAACAAGTGCCCCAAATGACTCCAAGGCACAAGCCAGAGCTGACAACCTTGGCATGAAAGGATGCCTTCTCTAGACACGGAGGGCTTGTCTCCTAGGAGCTGGGGCTAGTCTCTGGACAATGTGCAGGGACAAAGGAGGCCCAAGCAGTAAACCCTCCCACCTCCTGGGAATCGAGCATTGAGAATGGTGAAGACCGAAGGTGTCCCATCTGGGTCTGTCAGCAGTCACTAAAGAGCCTCTCCCGGAGGAAAAAAATAGCAACCCATCTCTCCTGACCAGATTCTAAAACTACCTTCACCCTGAAAATTCTTATAGAACAAAAAAAGTCAACGAATGGTTTCAGGCACTTAGCTTGGATTTTAGCCTGTAAACCATTTCCAGATGCTCTTGGTCGACTGCTCATTTGTTGTACTATGTCGCCACCTTGTGGTCGGTCCTGACATGACTCCATCTCCATCTCGAAATCGGCCAAAGGCCGAGCCCTTCCTTCTAAACCTTTAAAAATTAACTCATTTAACCCTTACAATAAACCACGTATTAATATGGTTGTTTTCCATAACCATATGGGAACTGAGGCAACCCCCACTCAGCCACAAAATGGGCCTTGGGCCTGGGACACTTACTTGCCAAGGGCCTAGGAGCCCCCACAGCCTGCGCCAGCCTTGCCACAGGCGGGAGGATCCGTTTCAGCCTCGACGAGCATTGTCTGTTTAAAGCATGTCAATTATATACCACCGGGCCAAGCCCACTATCTGGACAGTGCAGGGCCTGTCTACTGAGGGGAGCTGCCCTGCCACTGAGCAGGGAGCCTGCTGCTGGCCATGGATCTTGACCCAAGTACCGTCCGTCTGTGCTGCACTGTTTTCCTCGGTGATTCCCACACCAAGATGCAGTGGGCACAAGTGCTTGGAGTGGCCCCCTGGACTGGTAGCTGGTACGCAGAGCTGAGGCCATTTCTCAAGATCCCGCAGGTTAGCGAGTGGTAGAACCAGGATTTTATCCCCGAGGAGTCAGGCCTGGCTGGGACCTAAACTGCCACTCATACTGGGACTTGGGCCTTTCTGGCCCTTTGAGTAGCAGTCCTATCCACACAGGCACCCCAAGGAACTGTCTCCATCCCACCTGCCTTGAGACTCCAGTGCGTCCCTTCAAATGTCAATCGGATTTTATTTTTTTTGAGTAACACAGAGATGGATATGTATGATCTAGATAAGTGTCAAATGATTGACTATAAAACAAATTACCCCAAACATTGTCAAAAAGTAAAGTTTTTGAGATTTTCTGACAACTCAGTTCCTTTCATCTTGCTCTTTTTACTTCCTTTCAGCTTATTTGATGGTGTTCACCCCAAAAGTGACTGCAAAGTATACTTGTTTCCCATAGATCTGAGGTCACATCCCCTCATTTGTTTTATAAATATCTATTAAGTGCCTTGTATAATTCTTTTTCTATTATTTTATTACATTCACATCCTAATTATTAGTTTTGGGGGGGACAACATAGCGATTGGACATTTATGTACCTTATGAAGTGATCAAACTAAAGATAACATCTTGACCCCAGCTGATTCAGTTCCAGACCCATGAAGGCAGGAGCCTACCGGCCACATGCCCTCAGAGCCAGACAGAAAGACGCCATGACTGACATCAGGACCTGATGCCATGATCAACCGCCTCCTACCCCAGCCCTGACCAATCACTCAACTGGATTTTATAGCCGGTCTTTCAGGTCCAACGTCTCCTTTCCTGTTTCAGGATGTTCCCTCTTCCTGGGAACGCTTGGCCCACTTTGCTAGGCTTATATCTACTCATGTTCTCAGCTTTTAAGGTTCCTTTTCTGAGCTCTGCCTTAAATTCTCCTTTCACCTGCATTAATCTCACTGCACCCCTTACTGTTCCTGAACCCCCTATATCTAGGAAACACGCAAGTGTCTTAGTATTAAAAAACCCTTGAGTCGGCCGAGTTGGCTTAATGCGCGCTCTGAGCAACAGGGCTGCCGGTTCGATTCCCACATGGGCCAGTGACGCTGTGCTTGAGCTGAGCTGCCACCAGCTCAGCTGGTTTAACAAGATTTCCTGTTCGATGGTGGGCTATGCCCAACCGCAACTGAGACTGAACTCGGTACCTTGGGCTGAGGTGCCGCCCGGATGGCTTGTGGGTAGAATGTGCGCTCTTAACAAGGCTGCTGCTTCGACTCCCGCATGGGATGGTGGCTAAGTCCACCTACAACTAAGATTAAACGCAGCACCTTGAGCTTAGAGGCCACGAGCTGCCGACGGGCAGCCAGATGGCGACTGGCGCCCTCCACAACTAAGATTGAAGATCCACAACTTGGCTGGTCCCCTCCCCCAATAAAATCTAAAATAAAAACCAAACAAACCCTTACGCCTACTTCTGCATCAAGGAATACCTCAACAGGGGGACGTGAGCACCTGCTACATTCCAAGGGGGGCTGGCTTGGCTTGCAGTCACTGCCAAGAAGGCTAATCAACTCCTTTAAACGATCATTTTCATTATCAGGGAGTTCATTTTACCTAAGTGACTGAAATCTCCCGAGCGCATGCTGGCTCACTTCCACGAGTATCTGGCTCTTCTAACAGCCTAAAAAAAGGACGGCTTTCCAGTCCGCAGTCCAAGGTAAGGGAAGCAAGGAGACTGCAACCAGGGCCCCCATCCCACTCCTACAGGAGCCACCACTAAGCAACATTTCGATTCCCGCTGGTCCTCAAAGACAAGACACTTGAAGAATTTTTAAAATTTTAATCCAGTTCAGATCAGCACGTCTGGTTCATTTCAGCTCCTTCACTGCCAAACCTAAAGGAAGAGAGATAAAAAAGTGTCACCCAGAAGATACATTTTGAGGTACTGTTGCTTGTCTGGATTTTGTACTTAAGCGGAAGAGGACTCACAAAACCCAGAATTTAAGCCCACCAGGGAGGTTTTGCTTCAAATATTAAGTTAATGTTTGACTAAAAAAAAAAATTCCCCTTCAGTCTTTGTAAAGAGACCCCAATTAGTGTCTCCCAAAGCCACAGTTGGGAAGAGGTGGCCTTCCGCTTTGTGCCCTGTGGACAGCTGTCTCCAGCCCCCAGTCCTCCCTTCCTATGCTCATGGCCTATTGTATTTAATCAGTTTTCCACCCTGTAAAAATGAGGATCATCAAAACCAGTACCAGCCTGGCGAGGATGAAATGATACATAGAGTGCTACCTGTCACTATTCTGCATTAGAAAAGCATGGAAGGAAGCGACACAAATGTCCCTTAGGCCAGGGAGCCAGTTTCTCCCGTGGGCTCGGACCTCTGAGAACATGCTGCTTCCATTACCAACAGCAAGAGCATATACTCGGACCACAAAATGGAATTTCCTCACTCTGGGGACAACTCAAGAAACAAGACGGTCACACATGCACCTTGTACATTCTTGGTCCGGTCCCCCCCCCCACCCCCCGATTTCAGGTTCACTCACCTGGGGGCAGCGACTGCTTCAGTTTCTCTGCCTTCTCTTTGTCTGTGATGACCAAAGTGTAAAGGTATCTGCTGCATCGAACTTTAAACTTCACATTATCCTTATTTTTCTTGATCTTGACAGCTACCAAAGAGACCAGAACCAGTAATTTATTATTATTTTTTATTTTTATTATTTTTTTTAGCTGAGTCATCCTTCCACCTGTTGGCAGCTCAGCAGCTGCTCAGCTCGGGCCGGACTCGAACCGCTGTTGCTCAGCGCTCAAACTCTTGAGCGAGCTCTTAACCAACTGAGCCACTCGGCCGGCCCTCGGAACCAGTAATTGAATTGTACCAGAAACGATGTCACACAGCTCACCTGCTCTGTACTGATGTAGAAAGTGGCACTGCTGACTGCAGCCACTGACAGCTGCGCGTCTCCCCCTGTACTCTTCCTCAAAACAGAACCCAAGATTCCCTTTATGATCTCAATATTTATAAACAGTGTCAGAAACCCACACTTCCTTTATATCAACACTCGAGAGCCTGCAGCTTACTCTTAATTGGTTTGTATTTAAAACATAGGTATGGTACACTGAACACATCCGATCTGTATCTATTTCATTATTTTAAAGGAATGGAAGTAGTTCATGAAGTAAGGAGATGGGGTATCTGCTGGGATCACTCTTTTCTAGAAATCAGTCCTCTGCGTATGAGACACGCCGGGACAACGGTGAAGCACAGCGAGTCCACACTGAAGCTTTTCCTAAAACTTATATGGAATACATTTTAGGGAGCTCTTTGTTGCTGCCAAAGTCTATCTCAGGACCACAGCGCAGACAAAGAGCCCCAAGTGTGCCTCAAAGCCAGCAGTGCGGGGTGTGAAATTCTGCAAGTCTGGTTATGGGCACTAGTGCATTTCTGCAGGCTGGCAGCCACGCTGGCTGCTGGAGGTCACGTGCTTCTCCGTAGCCAGTCATTTCACGCACCCGTCAAACCCCGCATTCCCGCCTCTTTAAAAACAGCTTGTAATTATTAAAGCAGGGACTTGCCAGTTGAGTCGGGTGGCTAAGGACAGAACTGGGGCACCAGTGCCCCAGCACAGGTACCTGACCAGACACAGAAGCGCTTGGCGTCCACAGCAGCAGCACAAGGTTAACTTGTACTCACGGCCCACAACCCATTTCTGCCAGTAACGGTTAAAGGGACAGGCACGAAGCAGGAAGCAGCAGCACTGGCTGCGCCGGCTGGTGTTTCAATGAATCCAGACCCTGGATATCCATTCAAACCAACCTATTTTGCTCTCTTAACATCCCCCCTGAAGCTGCGCACGCTGCACTGTCCCCAGCAGCTGTTACACTCTATAAGCCGAACTGGACACTCCCAAGTATATGGATCTCACAGATTATCACATGATGATTAATTTCACTTACAGGTATGCAATGTACCCCAAGAACTGAAAGCAGGAAAGAAAACGTGTGTACACCAATGTTCACAGCAACATTTGCAATGGCCGAAGGGTGAGAGGTTACTCAAATGTCCATCAGCAGACGAAAGGATCAACCAAATGTGGTCTCTCCCTCCACACAATGGATTCAGCCTTGAAAAGGAAATTCTGACACATGGGAACCTAGAAGACATTATGCTAAATGAAGCCAACCAATTAGAAAATACTTATTTCACTTACGAGGTTCCTAGGGTCGTCAGAGGTACAAGGGTGGCTGCCAGGGGTTGGAGAACATGGGGAGTTATTGTTTAATGGGCAGAGTTTCAGTTTTGCAAAATTGAGTTCTGAGGATGCGATGTGAAAATACTTACTACCAGTGAACTGTACACTTAAAAATGGTAAATTTTATGTTATGTGTATTTTAGAATTAAAAATATTAATGCTTACCAAACACTATTATGTCCAGGGGACCAGGACCCCCACCCTCATAGGGACACGCAGTCTCAAATCAGCCTCCCAAACAGAATTAAAATGCAAATGAACTGGGTGGATTCAGGGTCGTCTCTTTAAAGCACTAAGGTCTGTAATGGATCACCTGCTGCGACCCTCACGCCAGCCCCAGGAGACAGATCCTAGCACCACCCCTCCAACAGGAGGAAGCGGTGGGCTGGGGTAACCTGACAGTTACCTGCTGACAGAGCTGCGGCCTGAACCAGGCAGCAACCCCACATTCCCCGGTCTGAACCCAAACTGACACAACCATCTCTTTATAGCGTGACAGCACACTGTCAGCTGCGGTCCCCACAACCATCCCGGAGGGCAGACACTTTCACCAAATGCTACCTGTTCCCAAAGGTGGTCTCCATTTCACACTGTACCCGAGGATCAAAGGCAGCGGCCCGCTTCAGGTGACAGAGACACAAACGTGACCCTCCCTGTCCTCGTGAACCCCCTAAAAGGCTCTCCTTAGGGACCATGCTATCGCCGACACAGCATTTGCGATGGCCAGTGACCCAGCCCACACGGCGTCCCCCGAAGGACAAACCTGCGAGGGGGCAAGGGACAGCCCTAAGGAGTAACTGATGTAGCAGAGGAAAGACGGTCAGGCTCCGTCACACAGCGTACGAACTCCGGCTCGATCGTGCGTTAAGCACAAGCCCTCCAGCCTCCTTCCGCTACAATACAGGGAACCCGGAACGCTCTCCCACATTTGGCGTGAAAACGGAGCATGCGCGGGCACCAGGGGCCCGCACACAACGGAGACCGAGCACACGGCACTAACCGGGGTACGTGGGACTCACGCGTTTCCAGACTTGCACCCAGTTAGGGCTTCTTTCTGTCCAGGCGCCAAATCACAACCACAATGAAACCAAAACGAACCCGGGTGGGTTTTTTTTTTTAAGATAGTCACAGTTAGCTAAGGAAGACAAGACAGTGGCCAACCAAGTGTTTCTCATGGGAACCATGACAACATCCCTGCTCTCCAGCAGCCAGGCCGCTGCTTGCACGGCCTCCCGTCTCCCGCCTGCCGCTGCAGGCGCAGAACCGGCGTCGGGCCTGCTCCACGCGAACGGGTCGTTCCCCTTTACTCCTCTTGCACGCCAGGGCGCTTACTTACATTTGGCGTCCTTGCGCCTGGCTGTGAGCAGGAAGTCCTTGATTTCTTCAATTTTGCGAGGCTGCAATACAAAAGAAAACGGGGAATGAATCACAGAGACGGGTTTTTTCCCGCCGAGGGGCAAGTCTACCAGCCCCGCGCCTCCCCGGGAAGGTCCCAGGCAGGGGCCGCACTCACCATGGCTACGAGGCGCGGAGGACGCGCGGCCGGCGCCTGCGGGGAAGACAAACCTTAGCGTCAACAGGGCGCGGGGGCCAGTGGAGGCCACCGCTTCCCCTCCCCGCCCCTTCCGAAATGCCGGCCCCATCGCACTCCATCCTCCTCCCCCGCACCCCTGATCCAGGATGAGGGTCCGCAAACTTCACCGGGCAGTGGATTACCTTGGATTACCCCTCCTACCCCCCGCACACCTCCCGAGAAGCACTCACAGCAAACGGCAAGAAGAAAAAGAGGATGAGAAAGAACGAAACTTCCGTTTCCGGGCAGTTAAACCCTCCCCCGGAGGAGACTGGGTACGGTGTCTGCAAAGGGTCAAGAATTATGTAGTCGTTTGCTCTTCCATTGTAGCACTACTGCCCCCTTCTGGCTTAGATTAATAATGCAGCTCCACGAACACAATGGGCTGCCTCCCTCCTCAGCTCCCTCTCCTTTTCCACCCCCAAATTTCCCCAAACCCCTTGGTTTTGATAGGTTTTATTTCAGATCTAGTTTGAAGACTTAAGACTTCTATCTATTGCTTTCATTAGACCTGTGCATTGGGCATCTACGCATTTATATGAAGGAACCTTCCTATGTATATTTTAGAACCTCTTTCTAGGGGTCCTCACATTTCCTTCTTTTCCATGGATATCTAATCTGTCACGAGCAGGGTCTTCTATTCCATGTAAGGAAGGTTTTCTACATACCACTTCCGATTCCTATAAGGATTAGTGCACAGTAAAAAAAAAGCTCCTTCCAGGAGCCGATTTTTATCCAACGCTTAGGTCCGGCAGCCCCCGCACCGCTCAGACCCCCAAGCCCAGGCTCCTGGCTGCTGCACGCGGCTGCGCACCTAACGCGGGCGGGCTGCTCTGGGAAGGGCCGCGTTCCCTGTCCTCTTTGGTGCCTCCCCGCCTCCATCCCAGGCCGGATGTCATTTTCTCCGCACACATTTACTCTCAGTTCTTATATAACGTCTCTTCAGGCAGGCTCCGGGAAACCTGTGGTTATCGGTTTTGTTTTCATCCTCCACTTTCATTTTATTCTTCACCTCTCTACAAATGTCTACGTTTTATTATATTTGTTTCCCCCACATTTAATAACTGCACAACAGAATGTAATTGCCTTGTGCGCATTAGAACACCTGAAGAGAGAGTACTTGACCATGAACTTTACTTTGAATTCACGCCCCTCCCTCTCGTTAGACAAGCCCAGGTTGGGCATCTTCCTAGGGGTGCTGGGGATACAGGGGAAAATAAACCAACAGAGAGGTCGTAAATTCCTCTAATTGTGCTAGAGGGCCTTTGAAAAGAAGCCAGACTATGTTTCCGTAACTAGGTGTTAGCAGTGGGAAAGTTAATTGGTAAGAGCTTAATTTTAGACCGTCTGAAGGTCAGGGTCCAGTCTGAGAATCCTGACCTGAGGACATTCCCAAATCCACGACAGGAAAGCAACCTTTCAGCCAACCAACTGGCCTCTTCATGCGCTGGACACTTCCTGACTCCAGCCAGGCGCCAGCCTGCGCTATCCCCTTTGATACAAGTCCTGCTCAGCCTCCAGAGCTCAGCCCCCACCTCTCCTCCAGGTAGGACCCTTTGCCTCTAACTCCTGTCGCTTGTCACTCACGCAGCGGTTACTCGCACACACCTCTTGATAGACGATGCAGCAGTGTTGAACTTTCCATACATTTGTACCAACTTTTCTTTGAAGGCAAGAACGGGGTTCCATATTCTGTTGATAACTTTTGAAATGCAGTGTACACACACACACACACACACACACACACACACACATACACACAGTAGGTGCTTGATGCTGACACTGTAGGATTCTCAAGTTGGACACAGTATCTGAGATCACCCATGAAGGGTGGATGGGTTGATGGAGGGGTGGATGGAGGAAGGGAGGGAGGGGTGGAGGGATTCATTTGGACAAAGCAGTGCCGGGCACATAGTAGGTCCACAAAAATATTTGTCGAGTGAATGGCTGGTGCCTTTCCCCACTGCAGGACCCAGAGGACAGGGACAGGGGACAGCAGGAGGGGCTGTACCTCTCTTTTGGCAGTGATCCCAGAAAGACAGATGTTCACCCTCTTGCATTATATAATGGGAGAACATAGATGTGTAGTAACAAAACACGAAGGCAAATTAGTTCAAGTACCAAAGATTCCCTCCAGCTTCCCATGGGGGACAAATAGCAAAATAAATGGCAGCTACCGAAAGGCGAAGCAAGGAGTCTGGAAGGAATGCCTCCCTCACTTCAGGGGAAGCCGAGCCCCAAAGGTCCTGGTGTGGCAGGGGCTGCCGGGAACTGGGGGGCCAAAGCTGGCGCGGAACAGCCTGTGTCTCTGAGAGCAAAGGCCAGGATGCTGCATTTGACAGAGTGTCCCTGGTGATGCTGACACACATGCAAGATGGACAATTCTGACAGATGCCCAGGGTGGGCCCTGCAGGAGATGAAGGTCCCAGACTTGAGAGCAGGGCACAGCATGGTCCAGTGCCTGTGACAGGTCACTCTGGCTGTGAAGTATGGAGGGTGGTGTGAATGTCCAAGACTGGTGGCCGTGGGGATGGTGAAGGTTACTGTCATTGTCCAAGGGCCAGGGAGGAGGGTCTCAACCAGGGTGGCAGCAGTGTGGTCGGAGACCTGGAGATGGACGGAGGGAACGTCTGGGGCTCTGGACACCATCCAGTCCTCTCCCTTCCCTTCCACCAACCTGCTGGGCTCAGGGGTGCTCCGGGCTGGGTCCACAGCAGGTGAGGCACACAGCTTCCTCCTCACCCTCACGGGCACTACCCTGGCCACCCCTGAAAGCTAACTGGTTTAGGGTTCTCGTCAGCTTTCAGGGCACCAGAACTGGCCCCCAAACGAGCACCTGACCCATGGGGGCAAAGGGGCAGTGTGATACATGGCATGATCTGAAGGGTCTGGGAAGACCACCCAGCGTCCACATCTTCTCTTTTTCAATTCATTCTATTTATTCTGATAATGTCTGATGAGAACAAGGAGGCAGGGCAAGAGAGGAGCTGCACCCCAAGTTGCCTCTGGCACTTTCCCCTGCTCTGTGGGTCTGCCTGAGCACCCTCTGTGGGCCCACTGCAGGCATCATTGTGCAATATTGCCTGTGGCTGGTTCCAGTCTTGCCTCCTTCACTTACTGTCTTCTAAAGTGAGGTGTGTGGGGTTATACTACCTCCTCTCTTTCTTCTCAGAGCTGCTGTGAAGCCTAAATGAGATCATTTAAAAACCCCACGTCAGGGCTGGCTGAGTGGCGCGATGGTTAAGAACTGATTTGGGACGCCAGAGGGCCCCGGTTCGGATCCCACATATGAGGGCCAGTGACACTGCCCTCCACAGCTAAGATGCTGAACAACAGCTCAACCTGGAGCTGGGCTGCTGTGAGTCGCCGGCGACGGCGTAGGCTGCAGCCCCTGTGGCAGTGGGTTGCCATGGGCTACCGTATGTAGCGAGCGGCCAGCAGCCGCAGTGAGCGGCCGTCCAGAAGCCGAAGCCGGCGACTGATCTGCCTCGCCCGGGAAGAGCGCAATGATGGTGCCAACTTGGGCCAGTGAAGCAACGTCCTCCACAACTAGACTGAAGAACAAAACAACAGCAACTTGTCTGTTCCCCTTCCTCCAATTCCCCAGCGCTGTTCCCATCCCCCCAATTCCCCAATAAAAATCTTAAAACAAACAAACAAAACAAAAAACAAAAAACAAAAAAAACACCCCACGTCAGAGTCATCCTGGCTTCCTCCAGGACAGTGGTTCTCAACCTGTGGGTCGCGACCCCTTTGGGGGTCGAACGACCCTTTCACAGGGGTCGCCTAAGACCATCAGAAAACAAAAAGATATTTACATTACGATTCATAACAGTAGCAAAATTACAGTTATAAAGTAGCAACGAAAATAATTTTATGGTTGGGGGTCACCACAACATGAGGAACTGTGTTAAGGGGTCGCGGCGTGAGGAAGGTTGAGAACCCCTGCTCCAGGAGGTCTGGAAATAACCCCCCTCACCACCCAGCCCCGGGTGTACTGGCCCATAACGGCCACACAGAGGCGCCAAGGCCATGAGTGGCATGGACAGGAACCAGCCCCTTTCCTGCCTTGAATCCTAAGATCTCAGGCTTAGAGTTCTTATACAAATTAGAAGTAATATTTGTATAGCATTTTATACCTGACGGGGTGCTTTCATATCTACCATCTCATTTAATCTCCAAGAGGCCCCCAAGAGGCCCATGCCTTTGGCTGTCAGCGGGGCTGGCCTTTAATCATCTTGGAAGGGAGTTGTTTATTTAACCTTGAAGGTTTTCAGCAGGGGGAGAGCCTGGCGTCTCTCTTGTTGAACTCAGCAACCTGGGAAAAAGAAGGGGAGGGAAGGGAGAAGGCAGGGTGTGGGCACTGGGGTTCACGCTTTGTTTGGGAACCCAAGACCGGTGAGAGGAAAGGAAGGCAGTTTACCCCCCTCCTCCAGCCCCCACAGAGCCCTAGAGAAGCTCAGGTGCCCCCGAGGGGCACACACAGCTCATTGACTGGCTAAATGGCTCCAGCCCATTTTCAGAGAGCTCCTTCTGTCCGCCAGGCACCGTGCTAGGTGATTTCCCTGTCACAGCAATACCCTTTCATACACCTTTTTTGTCGCTCTTGGCTTTGTTCCAGACCCTGGGCAGGTGGTAAAGACACAGAGATAAGATCCTGTCTGTATCTCTGTGTCCCTCTCAAGGAGCTCTCAGACTAGCAGGGGTGGCAGTGAGAAGGCAGAGCCGTATGTGCAATGAGCGCTTCTCGCTGTGGGAACAGAAGGGGACTGTGGGGGACTGATCCAGGCTGGGGATGGGGTGGGCCCAGGGAAATGCTCCAGGAGAAAGGAATAATGATGCGGATTCACAAGGGAGAGAACCCACCCAGCACACTTAGGTCAGCCTACCGGAACGTGCAAACCCTCACAGCAAATATGTTCCAGGGGGGCCGGAATAAAGAAGCAGTCAGACTGGGCGGCACCAATCCAGGAGGTCTTCCTGGAGGAGGCATGGTGATAGGGTGGGAAGAAAACTCTTCCTGGAGATAGCCAGTCTTGGAGTCCAATCTTGTGTCCGGCTGGCAGGCCTGGAACGAGTCTTCCAGCATCTCTGAGCCTCAGTCTCTGTTGAAGAGAGGTGCTAATCCCCTCCTTCCAAGCCTTCCGGGTCACTGTGCCAATTGTGCGTAGGCTGCACAACTGTCTGTGGCTGCCCTGCTTTTGAGAAACCAGGAGATAC